GAAGGGAAGGGCTGGGGGTTCGGGGGCTCTGCGGGAGCAGGTACACGAGGAGGGAGCTGCGGCTGAGAGTCCCTGCTGGGTTCCTGCGGCACTTCCGACTTCCTCAGGATCTCCTGGAGCTTTTCGACTCTGACCCGGCGCAAGTGGGACAACTTCCTCATCACGGAAAACTGCTCGAGAAACGTCTCCAGGGGCACCTCGCCCTCCAGGAACCTCTCGGCCATTTTCTGGAAGAGAAAACAGCCTCAGCATCAGCGTCGCATCCCTCTGCTCTTCTTCCCCAAGCCCAGCTTAGGATTTAGGCCTCTCTCAGGGGCCATGGCACCACACACAAGCAAACAAAGGGCAATCCGATTTTTTGGAACAACAATGCCAAACTACAAAGAGATCATCCTTGATTTAAGGGATTAGGTTTGGGAGTGTAACTGCAAGTCTTTGAGGACTAATCACTCCAATTGCTAACGGATTTAAAGCTTAAGCTCACCTCAGACTCCTCCTCGATTTTCTGGCTTTCCACCTGCAGGAGATCCAGCAAGGTCTGAGGATGCATCGCTGCTGAAAATTTCTCTGGGGAAACAAAGAGAGAAGCAGAGCAAACCATGAAACACAAACCAGGGTAAAATCATGAGCACGCAGCCCTGCTGCACTCTCACACGAGTGCCTTCCTGCCTCGGAAACTGTGGGTGCAAGGAGAAAATCCAAAGAGAAAAGAACCTTAACCACTGCTGCACCAGGAGGGTCTTTTCCTGGGACAGCATCCTTGATCCATCCAACCGAGTTCGACCAGGAAACAGGAGAATATTGATTTTATAGGCAGCAGAGTCCTTGCTGCCACCCCCCAAAAGAGTTTCTCTGCTCAGCAGCACGGCCAAGGTAGGCAGAAGCAAAAGGAAAGGATGTTGTGCTAACTCCAGCCCACGTGACTCCATCGGAAAGCGTGCAAGGTCTGCAGACGCTCACCCAGCTTTGCCTTTTGCTCTTTACACCGCTCAGCCAGCTTCTGCAGCTCTTCGTATTTGTTGGAGAGATCGCTGCGCCCCGTCTCCAGCGGCGCCTGGAACTTCAGGTTCTGCTCGGCCAAGCTGCGGTTGGCAGCCAGAGCCATCTCCCTTTCCAGCTGCAGCTCCTGAACCTGCGGACGGAGAGGGGACAGTCACCGCGGGCGAGGGGCAGACGGAGCCCAGCCTGTGTCACACCGTCCCCACGTACCTCCTGGGACTCCAGGGCCAGGCGCTCGATCTCCTCGGCGCTTTCCTGCAGCTCCTGGAGCTCCTCCACTGTCCGGTTCCTCAGGGTCTCCATTCTCCTGCAGAGGAGCTGCGGGCTCCTAGGAGGGGAGAAGGAAGTGAAATAAAGAGAAGGTTTTGTAAAGCCAACTCCAAATAGGTACTAATCTGATTAGGGATTTAAAACCGGCTTTGCTCAGCGGATTGAAAGAGCTCCGCCCGAGCGGTTCCGCTTTGCTGTAAAGAATCCAACTGCCCACGCTCACGGGTGAGACCACCGTGTCTTCCCGCACCTCACCACCTCCCCAGCTCCTCGGCTCCTGTCCCATTTGATGTGTTTTCTTTCTGTGTGTTTGCCTTTCTAGCTACGTGGAGCCATCGTTTCCCCCACATATTGCTGCTGCCCTTGGAAAACACGAAGTGTCGGTGTTAGTCACAGGTGGGGAACCCAACCCAGTACTTGTGATTTAAAAAATCGGTGAAATATTACTAAAATGGAGGAAATAATGGATTTTCTGCACCATGTCCCTGACTTATCCCAAATAATCAAGCCTGTCTGATCGTATTTAGCAAATATCAGATGTTTGTTGCAGGTTCTAAGGTGTGGGATGCAACAATGCGGGAATACACTAAAAACAGGAGGGAAATGAAAGAGTGGTGCCCTCCCACCGAGAGAGAAAGGGACATACCAAACACCCGATGGGGATTGCTGCGTCCTCCTAATCGCTCCTGGCTCTTCTACCTCTCACTCGAGTGAAACATCCCAACGATATCGCTCTGGGAATGTTGCATCAGCCTCTGCACATCACACAGAACGAGGAGGTAAGGCTCGGGGTTACCAAATCTCTTCACCCAGGACCCAGCCAAACCTGTTCCGAGTAACACCCACCGAAAAACTGGGAAATCAGCTCCCTTACTGCATCTGGAAGGACATAACTTCACCTCTCTGCAAACAGAAAGAAACTCACGGGGGGATTTTGTTACTCCTGAGGGTCACAGAGCATAAGAGGGAAAGAAACAGGAATAATGGCAAATGGAAAACTCAACTTCTGTGGCGTGGTGGTCAGGGATGGGCTGTGGGAGGTGTTCAAATGGCCCCCAGGAGTGGGGACACAAAGAGCTGCGTACTGCCCTGGCTCCGGCGGGTCACCAGCTCGGGGTAGAGGCTCTTGCCTCACGGATCTCGCCGGTTTTTAGCAGCATTCCCCTAAAACGCAGCCCCCAAGGTGACACTTTGCCTCTCCGAGGGGCAACGCACGGGGCCCCGCAGCTCAGAAAGGCTGGAGGCACCGGCAAGGGGCTGCCCGCAGGACTGCTGCGCCCCGGGCCGTG